GCTGGCAAAAGAAAGGAAGAAAGAGCAAAATACATGGTATTAGTTTAAACTGAGCTGTGGCCTTAATTTGATGTCAGCAACATTGCAGTTTACAAAGCTAGGGAAGCTCTATGAGGCACCAAAAATTCTGACTCTTACATCAGGAATTTAACTCAAAACCAGCCTCTGAGTATCTGTGATATGTAGAAGCTTTTACAAAGTTTTCAAATCTAACACCTGCTTTCTTGAAAATGCAAGGTTAGGAGGTACATGAAGTGCGATTTGAACTGTTCCCTCATTCTTACTCTTTCAGTTCCCAGATATCACCTCATGCTCTTACATTCTGTGATGAGACTGTTACCTGTTAATACCAACAAGACTCTGAACTCAAGCACTTAGTTCTACTTGTGAGTGTCCATTTAATTTTTCAGCTGCTCTAAAGGTAAATCAATTTACCAATTATTTATCAATTAGCATAGAACTATTCACAACCTCCTCCCCCTTGCTCTCCACAACACATTTGCAATACAGTATAATCTCATAAATCCAGCACGCTCCAGACTGAGCACCTGCTGGATATTTGAAAATGCCGGATTTTTGAAACCCTAGTAGTGACTGGTCCCGGAGCAGCGGCTGCATGTGGAACAGCGACATGGGGTGGTGGATGGTGGCAAGAGTCACCACATGCAAGCTTCCCCCTGTGTGTCCAGGGTGGGGGAGAGTGGCAGACGATTCCGGAGCAGTGCTAGATTTTTGAGAATTACGGATTTTAGAGATTATACTGTATTTTGTTGTTGTTTTTCCTCTCTCCTGATTTTTTGCTTATAAGTAATCAAGATTTCTCTGTTAGAGTCCTTATGTCTCCATTCCCTTTCCCCTCTACCCCTCCAAAGAAAAACTGAACTGCAGTGCAAAAAACATTTGGTACACAATTACTACCAACTTGAGCATGATATAAGTCAGTCAGTGGCAGAGCATGCCTCGCACATTCACCTCTACCATTTTAGCTCCTAGTTTCTCCTGACCTCAGGCATCACAAAGCCAGTGCAAAGTAGACATACACAGAGCACCCACTGGGAACCTGGCTTTGAAGACTCAAGCCGCATCCAGACAAGAGCAGCTGTGTGGTATGCGGTGCTGCAGACACGTCTACAGTGCCACATACCGCACACCCAGCTGTCCTCTGCGCTGCAAGGGACCAGCACAAGGTTGACCCCTGGATATTCTGGGGTTAAAAATATCCGCACCAAAAAAAGCAGAGTGGTGCACGCAGGGACAGCGTGCACTGCTCAAAACCAGAACCTGGCCAGCTGAAGCCATGCTTCAGCTGGCAGCCAGGCTCTGAGCAGCAGGATCACTGCTGCTGCAGCTCCAGAAGGCCCCCCAGGACTCCAGTGCTGGCTCCAGACTCCCCTACCCCACCCGGGATAACCTGCATGCCTAAGAGAGCACTTGGTACAGGCATTCCCCAGGGACAACTAGCGACAGCACAAGGTGTCCTGCTGCTACTTGTCCCTGGGGAAACAAATGTCCATGCTCGTGTGGACACAGCCTCAGTCTTGCATTTAAACCGAGACTTGATTAGACCTCCAGAAGTACGACCTAAAAATCATCCCACCTCAAGAATCAGCAGCATATGCATACTGCAGACTATAGGATGCATGTGTAAGACTTGCAATAAGGTTTAAAAGAATGTTTTCAGACTCAAGACAAGTTACGTCCAACCTGTAGTCCAAATTATATTCATGACTTGAAAAATACTTGTTCTATATTCAAGAGAACAAAATTTTGCTACTCTTGGCCAGAAGGACAGCATGAGATTTAAGTAAGGAATTTCATTAACAGGGCTTCAAACATGGCTTCTGATAGCTTGGATACCCATAGAGACACACAAAGCTCTTGGGTCAGAGGTGATATCTTTTATTAGACCAACTAAATAGTAGCAAAAAAAAAAAAAAAAATCCTTTCTTTGCAAGCTTTAGGGCACATACACCCTTCTTCAGGCTGAGGAGAATTCAAAGATTGTAAAAGTCCTCCTAGGTAGAAAAGAAACTCCATTTTGCACGGGGGAGATAGAAAATGGAATTTTATTCCCCTGTGTATCTCAGAGTCCTTTTGTGAGAGTGTTGCTCTGTGGTGTGCAGATTAGGCCATCTTCTTGCCTGGAGGTGTCTGATGTCAGAGTCAGACAGGGAGGTTAAAAATCCTTCTTTCTTGGTTAGCAAAGAAGTTTACTTTTCCAAATGGCTAAATAAAATATCTTTCAGGATTCATGGATCTATGTTATAGCCATGTTGGTCTGAGAAAAAGAGATACACAAAGCTCTTGGGTCAGAAGCAATCTCTTTTACTAGACCAACTAAATATTGCCTCTGACCCAAGAGCTTTGTGTATCTCTTTTTCTCAGACCAACATGGCTACAACATAGATCCCTGGATACCCAAAGGACATTAAGCAATGCATCCGGAGCAAGCAAAACAATAAGCGATCAGCAGCAGGTCAAGAACAGATTTGGAGCAGAAGCTGTCCTGCCCAAATTTTTTTTTGAAGCCTCACATAAAATTAGCTGACTTCAAGATAATAAATGCTGAAGGTATCCTATTTCTGGAAAGGATGAAAACAGGTCATTTTCAGTTTATATCACAGAACAATATGCATAGTTCCTATTGGCACCGACTCCAAACGTATCTTACTATGCACTTAATGAAAAAGGCAGATCCTATCAAATCATGTCATCCAGATATGAGTGCCTTCTGCCACAAAAGAAACTTCTGTGTTCATTGGTAGACTACAGCATAGAAGCTAATTTAACTCACGTGTTCACAGCAACTGTAGCTTGCTTTATTTTGTGAGCAATTTCAGTACTTCAAACAGATGGAAATGTGTTTGCAGTCCTTTCAATGACAGCAGCAGCAGCAGCTTCAAAGCACTTGAAAAATCAGAAGCTACTTTGCTAGTTCTTATACTGTATGGGTAAGTTTAAAAGAATCTTTTCATTTTCCTACCCAATCCAAGAAAAATCACATCTGCTTACTAAGAACATGCTGGTTTAATGCTGAAAACATGAACAACTAAAATTTTATTACAGTCTTTCAAACAAGAAAATACAACCTATATGGAAATGTAACAGCAGCAGGTATGCATTAAGATTAAAATTGTCTACTTCCCTCATTCTAAAGCTGCTGCAGAAAAGCAGGAGAAAAGTCAGGTGTTAAGGCCTTGGTCTAAACAAGTTCAGAAAAAGTCTACTGAAAATGAGAGAATGCATGTAAACACTCACCCCCACCCCCATGCTTAAAATTTGCCCACTGAATTTATATTAAAGACAACATGCCTCAGCTACAGTGGCTTTTAAATAGTTTAATAGCCTAGGCTAGTTTATTAGCCTAGATATGGTATACCAGTAAGAAAAACAGCAAGAAGAGGAGCTGAGAAACAAGCTGAATTAATAAAAAACCTAGCAGATTTAAAAGGACTATGAAAAAATAGATTTAGGATCACTATAGTATGTCGAAATGGAATTTCAAATGTAACTCAGGTTTTTAGCTGATATTATAGCAGCATTCAACAATTAAAATTGACATTTGTTGCAGTTCTACCTTAAAAGGAGTTCTGGCTCAGTGTGAAATGGGTTCCTACATAAACCTTAACACAAAGGAAATGCTGTCATTTACAAGTCTGAGACATTTAGTCACAGGAAACCTGTAAAATTCCAGGCTGATTCTGCTACAGAGCTGACCCATTCAAGCAATGGAAGCAAATTACAAATTAAAATGTCACATCCTTTTAATAACCACTTTTTCTCCAAAAAGGAAATGTACTGAAGATCCCTTAATATTAGCTCTTCTTCCTACCCTTTTTCCAATACGGCTCAACAAATCTAAATAAAGCCCCAATACGCAACAGTCTTTTTTGCCATTTTGCAGCCAGCAAAAACAATTGTACAGCTGCTACTGACAGGCTGCAATTTTACTGGCAAAACTAATAAAAATACCAGATAGGCAAACAATAAAACCTCCAAAATATGGGTTATCAGATACAGTTATGTCAGCTTCACTTTCAAGGAGCATACTGGTAAATTATTATCTATCCCCATCCAATATTCCTGCTCTTTATTCTATTTTATATTAATTAGCCTCCATGGCAACACTATTTGCTGATCAAGTTGAGTGTTTACAGGCACCAGCCCTATCTTCTCTAAAGCAGAGAGAGTTATGTACTACAGAAGGGAGAGAGTCTTTTCTGGAAGTGGGGGGGAGGGAAGCGAGACTGCATCTATTTTAGCAGGTTTAGGAGAAAGAGTTGGGGGCAGACGTGGTACTCAGGATGACCTGACAAAAAGGTATTGGTGTCCTGCTGCAATTACACACACAGCCTCTTTAAAAGGGAGACATTCTTTTCTCTAAACATAAACAAACAAACAACCCACTCCTTGGATGTGAGATTTCTGCCTTTCAGTACAGACTTTTCCTAGAAATGAAGGCTATCCTGCTGACAGGTTGTAGGAAGTGTAAATTAGCCTTCACTGCAGTGGAGAAAACAAAAGTAGACACATTCCATGTGGGAAACCAATAGGAAAAAAAAGACAAAACAAAGACTACCTTCTAGCACAGAAATCTTGAAAACAACATTTGTCAGCCTCGTTTTCATGAGGCATGAAAGACTGCATTTGCCTAAGCTCAGCCCACACAGACTACGAGTAAACAGTCCTGGAATTTCTTTGCTGTAGGCTATGTCTTCAGACAAAAAAGGGTGTGTTTAGTTACGGCATAACATGCATTACTATTCCACTATGTTTTTTCCAGTGGAAATGAGGCAATGCAGTTTATCAAGAAGCCAAGTCAACCACAGGTGGGTGGGGTGTAGAGCTGGCCTCACCTCATTAATTCCTGGTAAACAAAACAAACACTCCCCCCGCCAAAAAACCTGTCTGAGATAATTATTGCATACATGTGTATTATACAGCATCTCTCTTCTTGCAAAATTGAATAGCACTTTACATGCTGTACA